ACACACACACTCACACGCGCGCGCGCGTACGCACGCACGCTTGCAAGCACACATGCGTGCACGCACACACACACACACACACACACACACACACACACACATCGCGCGCTTCGTGGAAAGGACTTTTAAAATGTGTCACTTAGCAGTGCAATCAGGTTTTCGTAAATTTTGGGGCAAGGGGAGTAATTAGTATCATCTTAAAGCTTGTTCATTTGTTTTGCTTGGGATTGAAAAAACATCCATTTATCTTTAGTAGAAGAGGAGGAATTTGCGAACAAATGAAGGAGGTGGGGTTTCAGAGGTGAAATTAGAGAGAAAATGGCCGCCAAAGATGAGTTATTTCTTTAGCTTGAGAGTCTGTGGAAATTGAAAATCATGGGGTTTTTTCAGTAAAATCCACACAGAAATGTTTTCTTTAATGGGCATTGAAGGTTTTGAGCTAAAAAACGAAAATTCGATTTTGAAAAATTCTCAAACCTGCGGAAAAATGCCAATGACTTCACTTTGATTATTTATGACGATCGCCTGATTTCACCAAGCTGCCTCACATATAAAGTCCTATCTCATCTACATTTTACGCTTATTTTTTTACTTTCCAATTCTCCCATTCCACCCCCCCCCCCTTTCCCCTACCTATTTGTATATCTACTCACAGTACACCCCCATCCCTTTGAATTTTTTTTTCTACAGCCTTTACAATTTTGTTGTGAGTTAGGTTAGGCTTTTTCTCTTTGACTTCCTTTGGGTAGTATGCGTTGTTTTCTCGGAGTATACACTATATGCGGTTATCTGGTGAGTATAATATTTTATACTTGTCTGAATGTATCTGCGGCGTTTTCATGTTTCGCAAAGCTATTTCATTTGGGAGTTAAGATTCAATTTGTCCACAGAGGCGAAATTTTTTAACTCTAATATTAGTGTACCTTTTGAGATAAGGTTGTTTTGGGGTGTTTTTTTAAAAACCCGTCGCCTGTCAGTCTTCGGACCAACTGTTCACCGCAGGACTGACAGGTCTGAGGCGAATGAAATGTATGTACACGCAACCTACTTCTTTTTTACTCTACCACTCAACTTTGGCCCAATTTCGATAGTAGATTAAGCGCGCAATTTAAAAGCCGACCAAAATGGATGAAGATGGTTACATCTGTGATTTATCAGTATTTTGTGTTCTGCGTTTCTGGATGGGAAGTAAGAGAAGCATCTGGGTGATTTATTGGCATCTGTAAAGAAATAAAGAAAAGTGTATACACATATTATATAATATACCAATATTTTTTTAAGAACCGCGAGCCTACCCAGAGAATTTCAAGAACTTTGAAAGAATGGACGAGTCCATATACTTTCATCTAGAATCTAGTAGGTGCGAGTAACTTCATGATCTCCTTTGTCTTTAAAACATACAATGTTGAAAGTGCAGTATTCTAAGGTATCGAATAAGCATCCCCATCCCCTTATTAATTTTCAGGGTTTTATTTTTAGCTCCCCCGCTCCTTATTCCATACCCCCATTTATTATGTTCTAGCTTGCCACTACCGACGATCATGTGAAACGTATATCTAAAAACTAGATATCTGAATGAAACATCTTTTTTATTTTTTTATTTTGTTGTTGTAAATGGCAAATTACCCCCAGTATTAGTGCCGGCACCGGGTGGCTACCTCAATTTTCTGTGCATTTTAAAACCTTTTGTACATTAGTC